TAATTTTTCATCTAAAGTTCTCAAGAGGTAATCCTAATAATTACCATGTTTCCTGCTTTTGCTTATAGTGGGTTGTTTGCTTCCAGAGTTGGTAAATTTTTATTCTGAGCTTGCCAATGGGGCTTTATTTGTGGGTATCCCACGTTGCCTGGGTTGAAGGAATGTTCCTCTCTCCAGTTTTTTCCCACCTTCTACCTTGGGTTCCTCGAGTCTCACTGGCTTGTGAACATATTTTATGTGAGTTTCTTGTCTTGAGGATCTTGGACCATGCTGGTAGTATAAATTCAAATTCTGTGTCTGTGCCAGAGCATGCCTGGGATTACAAATTTTCATTTTATAGACAAGTTTGTAGCCACCCTCCTCCAGCCTCAATGTTAAGCCCAGGACAAGTTTCTTTATCTTCCTGCACCAGTGTACATTTTTATAAAACCATTTTATCACTGATGGGGTAGACTGTCAATCTCTCTGACTTTATTCCAGGTAAAGGTGTGTGTGTGGCAGGGGAGAGTGTATGTGTGTTTCAATTCCATTCTCGTCTCCTGGTTGCCTTTTCTTTTCTAACTGTTACCTAAATTCAAGCCCCCATTTCTAAATTTCTTTTGTAGTACAAAGATTTTTGCATTGTTTTGTCAGCCATTTGCTGGAAATAGGAATCCTCCTCATATTCTTTTAAATGTGTGTAGTATTATATGGATTGATTATTTGATTGCCATTCTCCCTATATTCTTGTTAATTGCGTATTTATTTAGTGTTATACTGTGAACGACTACTTTGTTCAGTCATTCACTCCTTCTTTCAACAGATACTTATTAAGTAGATAATTGAGATCAAGTATTGTGTTTATGTGCCTGAATGCAAAGATGAAAAATAATGGGTTTTCTGTCGTGGTTTGTTTTAAATATGGATCTTTAACATCAAGGAACTCAAAGTTCATTAAGGAGAGATACATAAATAAATCAGTGCAAAAATGTAGCAATAGAATTTTGACTAAAGAACAGTGGAAGCGCAAAGGCAGGAGACCAGTGACCTGTCTGTGGGAGGCATTGGGGAACTCTTAAAAACTGGGATGTACATCAGAACCCCTTTCTTTTTAATTTCTTTTGTTAATAACTTGAACTTTTGAAAGGTGGCAAAGCACAAAGATAATCTTGCTTAGTGCTATACTAGAAATGGTTTTAAGAAGCAACCACATTTTTTATTAAACTTTTGTCAGAATAGCTCAATATCAATTATGTCAAAAACGAAATCTTGTTACTCATCAGCATTTTGATGGCTGTAATTATTGAAACAAAGTACTGGGGAATTTGGGCCAAATCAGATTTTCTTAGATTAAAAAAATAAAGGCGGCAGTGTAATTTTAGCTATCACACATGCTGAAAGTGAGCTTGCCTTAATGCTGTGATATACAGGCCATTTAAATCTTTGGGCTTTCCATAAGTGTCCTATAAAATGTGTCTGTAATGTTTATTTAAAAATTTTTAAAGAAAAGCAAACTCTGTAATAACTTTTAAATATTGAATTGCAATTACAGCATTTTAATTTTACCCTAGTACATTTTTTTTTTTTTTGAGAAAGATTGGCCCTGCGCTAACATCTGTTGCAATCTTCCTCTTTTTCTTTTTTCTCCCCAAAGCCTCAGTACATGGTTGTGTGTCATGGTTGTAGAGTTGTAGCTCTTCTGTGTGGGATGCTGCCTCAGCATGGCTTGATGAACGGTGAGTAGGTCTGTGCCCAGGGTCCGAACCTGTGAACCCTTGGCTGCCGAAGCGGAACACGGGAACTTAACCAATTTGCCACCGGGCCAGTCCCCCTAGTACTTTTTTTTCTCATGAAACTTATAAGAATGTTGTAACAAGGAGGTTTAGATTCTGTTGAACCTGCCACTTCTGTTTTCATGTTTCTTACGATTGTCCATTTGAATTTTTTAATGGTTATATACAAAGGTATTAAAGTTGCTTCTGGTTTTCACTGTTGTAAATAGTACTTGATTGAATAGCTTTATCTGTGTAGGTTTTTCTTTTTCTCCAGAGTTTTGATAAGATGAAATACTGAGATTTTAAGCCAAAGTGTATGAACATATCAATTCTCTATTGTCTGAATGTTTCCAAAGAAATTACACTAATTAATTGCATTTCACTACCATTTTCCTTATGGTTACTTTTCTAGAGTATATTTTGTAAAACTTTCAATTATCTTTAGCATAATATTCCTAATGATGATAGCATAAGTTATTTTAGAAAAGAATATGTAACTGGTACTATGGAATGAGATTAATTAGTGAGAAGTTGACACTTTAACTCCTTGTTCATTTATTTAAAAAGCATTGGTTTCTTGATGGGAATACCATTGAGAAGGTGGAGAGTTAAGAGGCTGAATGATTGTGCCTGCAATTTAATAATCTAGTTCTGTGACCTCCAGCAAGGAACTAAATCTGCACATTTCAGATTTCCTATTTGGGGATTATGTTACTTGGGAGGAAGCAATATCCCTGTTTTGAGATTTAAACCCAAAAGAGTCAGATTAACTGTCTTTGGAAGTCGCAGAAGAGAATAAGTAGGAAATAATGAATTTAATCAAGAAAAGACCTGCTGTGATGTTGGTAGTCATTAGGAATGTGCAGTTCATAGTGCCAGGAAAAGTAAATAATATTAAAGCATATATTTGTCTTGTTTAATTTGAACTTTTCTGTGTGCAAAGCATAGAAGGGTCTTGAGGCACATGCTAAAAAATAAACCCATGTCTCTTAAACTTGCAGTGTTTTTATGGTATCTTATGAGGCTTTGTTGTACTTCAACAGTATTAAATACTATTGACATGTAATCATAAGATTTTCTTTAAGGTATGCTTTGCTATACTTTTTTTTTTTCAACATGTGATGGATTTTAATATGACCTTAATTTTCATGGACTATGGTATGCTTTGCTATACTTTTTTTTTTTCAACATGTAATGGATTTTAATATGACCTTAATTTTCATGGAATATTTGAATGATATTTTAATTAAAAGCAGGCAGAGAAAACTTGATTCTTTACTGTTATAGTTTACAGACATATTAATGTTTATTCCAGGTCTGTATTACCTCTTTTTCAGTAAATAATAGTAATAAAACATATATTTGATATATAACGTAGATTAAGGGTACATTTCCTTTAACAATTGAATTAAAATATTTTTCTTAACACTAGGGGGCACTCTTGATTTATGAATTCGTACCTAAATTAATCTTTATGCGTGGCATGTGAAATAAAATGAAATTATTTGAAAACATTTCACTGCAAACTGACTGTGCCTTTAGAGAGAATTTGGATCATCAAGCTCGTTTTGTATGCAGTGTAAATATAAGTTGATCCTTACTAGTGTCATAAGGATAATGAAGCTTATAAAATGAAATTCTGTAGATTGGAGGAAATTTAAGTATTTCTGTGCTCTATTCATTTTCACATTGATTTTCTAAATGAGTTATAAATGGTTTTAAAAATCCATTGTTTCTAATATAGTTCTCATTTAAAAGATTTTAGCACAATATTTGCTCTTAGCAGATACTTAGGATATATTTGAAGAAATGAAGATAAATTTAAGATATGCCTGAAGGCTGCTATCATTAGTAGTAATCTTTAAGCATTTGAAACCAGGAACATGTTTTGCTACATATAGGAAACAGATTTTAGGCATTCTCATTCATTGTGTTTGCAGTTAGGATTTTGGTGATACCCACCAACGTGTATTTTGCCAGAGGTGTATTTCTAAGGTTTTTGTTTTCTTTAATTAGAAGACTCCATTAAATTTAAGTTTTGTGTGGATTAAGTAGATAGTAGACAAAATCTGCCTCATCAGAATAGCACACTTACCATATGTCAGCACTGTTGTAGATGCTTTGCATATATTAATTCATTTTTCCTCAGCACAACTCTATGAACCAGGTGCTTATTGTTATCTCTGTTTTATAGATAAGGAAACTGAGCACAGAAAAGTTAACAGTTTGCTGGGTCAAACTTAGGCAGTCTTGTTCTAGAGTCTGTGCTTCAAAATCACTATCTTGTATTGCTTCTCTAGAGAGGAAACAGCGTCAAGAGAATTATTATTGATATTTAAAACTCAGTTTTTAAAGTGGGTATAGTTTAAAATACCTAATTATGGACACTTATCATTTCTCTTATGAAAAAGATCATAGAAATTTAAAGTTGGAAAGAGGCCTTAAAGTCCATTTACTCCTGTCATTTTACAGAGAAGAAGAAATTCCATTCTAGGTAGGTGAAGTTACCAATGCAGTGCTATACGGCAAGTTATTTGTGGAAAGGGATTAGAACCTCAAGTAAATATTCCGACTTCCTGTAAAGTGGAAAGAAATATAGTGTTGTAGAAAGAATATTTGACTAGAATTTTGGATGGCTTGAATTTTATTCTTGGCTCTTCATTTACCAGCCTGTGTCCTTAGAGGCTCTGTTTCTTTGTGTTATGTGAGACTGTATCTTCCTTTATTAGCCTGATTGGTAGTTGTGAAAATCAGTGAGATGATAGATTGAAGGTATTCAATAAACTTTAAAACCCTCTACAAATAAATATGTCATCTATTGTGGTATTTTTATGACATATTCCATAATTTATTTTTGATTATTTGTGATATCTTTGTAAACTAGATCATTAGCGGTGGTAAACTTATTCAGTATTGTTGACTTAGGGATGCCATTTAGATCTCGGAAAATTTATTGTGTTATGCCGTGTGTTACTTTCCCACATATTTTTGCATTTTTCTCACAATAAGTGAAAAATTATGCTTTTGCTTTGCTTATGAAGAGCATAACAGTAATGTGTATTGAACACTGTCCCTTGGTGTTTCTGATCATTTGAAAATCGCATACACAATTATCCTCAAACTGGATTTAGTGACTTAACTGAAATAAAAAATAGAGTTCAGTAAAGTTGAGGTATTGTATTTCTTAGCCTGGTGATAGGCATGGATTTGTTTTCTTAAACTTCCAATATGACATACATTTAAAATATTCTACTTATTTTTTTCAGGAATAATAATGTATTTGCGGCCTTGGACGTGAAGCGATCAGTCTTCTATTGCTATTAACATAGCGTCAGGGACTGATGTCGTGGGAAGCATGGACCTAATGAACGGGCAGGCAAGCAATGTTAATATTGCTGCTACTGCTTCTGAGGTAAGACATTTAAGAAGTTTAATTGTAAGGTTTCTTACCTGGCATTCTAAGTTTTCAAGCATTATGGTTGGTCACAAATTTAAATCAGAACTTGAGAAAAAGGGCTACAAATTTTTTAGTTTTTAAAAAAACTGTTTAATTGTACCATTCACATGTTCACTGTACATCCTAGAAAGAGTTAATCCTTATCCACTTAAGATACTTGACAAATAATAATTATTTAAAACCCTTTCTTGGGTTTAGTTTTGCACAGAATTTCTTTTTAGGGTGTTTTTACATTAGATGAACCTTGAGGGCAATAGTACAAGTGAGGCAAAGAAAGATTCTTTTAGTTGGAATCACATAATTTTGGATACTGTCTAGATCCCTTGACTCCAAGCCTATTGAAGGAGAGCAAAGAACCATCAGGCTGGAATGTTCCAAGGGCTACTCTGGTGATGTAGCTTAGAGTGTTAAAATGCAGACGAAGACTGGACTAGAAGCTCATCCCTTTAGTTAATGTATTGTGATTTTATTTTTGCCTCACTTTTTTTCTTTTTTCCTTTGTCTATAAATCTAGGGTACTTGCCTACCTTCCTTAATAACTTTAGCATCTAGCTCTTATATTTCTCCTTTATTTTCTCTTATTATATAGGATGAGAGTAATGTTCATGACCCTTTAACATCTTGGCCTCAAAGTTCCTTGGCCTCAACCCTCAACTCCATTTTCCCCAGCTAATTACTTAGGCGTTGCTATTACTGAAAATATTCTAAGTCTATGGTTTTGATTGTTTTTCTTATCAGATGATTTCTATATTTTCATCTCTAGCTCTGGCTTCCCTCAAATTTTATTAAGGATTTCTGATGGACCAGACGTTTTACTTAGAACGTGAATAAGTCAAGTTAACTTATTACTATTCTACTGCACAACCTGTAAAGAAAATAGTCCAACCCCTTTCTCTGAATTCTGTTAATAGCATCACCATTTCCCTAGCTATCTAAGTTTAAATCTTTAGATTTGTCGTTAACTTGCTTCCCCTTTGCCCACCATACCCATTTTCCCATCACAGCAGGGAGAGTCTGCTAGCAAAACATTAGTTACAGTCTTCTGTAATGTAATTATGGAAGTGCCATCCCTTTGCCATCGTCTTTGCTGTATTCTGTTAGTTAGAAACAGGTCACAGGTCCTGCCTACACTGAAGTGAAGAGGATTACATGAAGGCGTGACTACCGAGAGATAGAGCTCCTCGTCATCCATCTTAGAGCCTGTCTGCCACACTTTGTCTCTAGGATCCAGTCCTTTTCCTCTTTATTTCTACCAGTACTCGCTTTGTTTGGTCATTTATTATTTCTGATGTAGATTATTGCAGTGGCCTTTTAGTTTGATCTTGCACTTCTGTTCTCTGCTTTTTCTGGTCCGTTTGACTATAATTCAATTTTAATATTTTTAAAATACAGCTGTTAAACTTTATTGTATCCCCAAACTGTCTATGGTTCCTTATTGCCTACTAATTAAATACAAAAGACCCTCAGCCTTGCGTTCAAGACTTTTCTCAAAATGGCCCTAAATTTTCTTTCTAGTGAAATTAACTACTACTAATCCTCTATTTGAAATTTACATTCCAATGAAAGAATACTGCATCTTGCTGGTGTTTGTATAAACCCTTAGCTTTTCCTGCTTCTGTTAGAGCTTTGCCTGTATCAGTCTTTCTACCTGGAATTTCTCTTCCCATTCCATGTGTCCTGCCCTCTCACTGCACAGAAAAGACATTTTGTCTGTCCTTCAAAACCTATTTCAAATGCTATACTTTCGATAAAGTCTTTTCCTGATCTCCTAAACACATAGGAGCTTTCTTGTTTTTGAAATTATCACTTTAAAAAAAACTGCTTTTTAATAAGTTTTTTTTTTAATTTAATTTTATTTTATTTGGTTTATTTTTTTTGTGAGGAAGATCAGCCCTGAGCTAACATCCATGCTAATCCTCCTCTTTTTTTGCTGAGGAAGACTGGCTCTGAGCTAACATCTATTGCCAATCCTCTTCCTTTTTTTTCCCCCGAAGCCCCAGTAGATAGTTGTAGGTCATAGCTGCACATCCTTCTAGTTGCTATATGTGGGACACGGCCTCAGCATGGCCGGAGAAGCGGTGCGTCGGTGCACGCCCGGAATCCGAACCCGGGCCGCCAGCAGTGGAGCACACGCATTTAACCGCTAAGCCACAGGGTCGGCCCTTAATAAGTTTTTCCATAAATTTATACATAGGTTTTCTTCCTCCTTGAGGCAGGGATTGTATTATGTTTGTATATATGTTTGTATTTCTTGAATATTTTAAATATATGTGTATGTATAATATATATTTGTAACTATATATCCAGAAACATTTAGTCTGGTATTACAGGAAACAAACAGTTACTTGTTAAATGAAATAGATCATTTCACTTGTATAAAAAATTCTGTTGACTTTCGTAAAAGTGAGTGAATTACATCTGCCCTCAGAGTAGTACAATTTAGTATATGAGAAGTAAAGGGGAAAGTGTGCCTTTTAAATTGTGCTACTGCTGTGGCAAGAAAATACGATTAAAAATACACATTTTCCACCTTCTCTTAAAATATAGATCTATTAATATATAAAAATGTAAAATTCTCATAAATATGATAAGCTTACAGAATGGGTAAAATATTTGATCTGGGTAATTGACATCTCTGTACCTTTATGCTTAACCTGTGCTTGAAGCTTCTTAAATCAAGAGTTGCAGTGAACTTTTTTCAGACATTTAAAAGTGTCAGTAGTTTTTTTAGTCTTGTCTTGAACAAAGAATTACTACTATTCTCTTAGTGGGCATTAAGCCTAAGTACCGCTTAGCTTCTTATCATTACTAACTTATTTATTGGTATTGGGAAGCAGATAGAAGCACATCACTTGTGATTTTTTTAAGCCTCTATTAATGGTTTATAAGAAGGCAAAAGGAACATGATTACTTGTTTTGATAAGCAGTGAAACTGGCATTACAGTTTGCTGACTTGTCTTGCATGAGTTAAAAACTTGGAGAAAATTACCAAGTTATGTTTAAAATTAATGTATTTACTTGACAGAATGTGTTTAGTTATTTGGGCAGTTACTAGATTAGTGTATGCTGCTTACCTGGTGTCTGTTTGAATGCTTAACATTATGAATAAATTTCTCTATTGGTCTTGGGACATAAAATAATATTGTTGACATACTGTAAGCTAGTTATAGTTACAGAGATTAAACATATGAAATAAAATACTATGTATAAAATCCCTTTACGGGTTTTTGGATCTTTGCTTGGATACATAAAGAATTTGGAATTCATCACTTCTATCCTCACGACACGAGAAAAGCTGCACAAACTGAAGATCAGTAACTCTTGCTAGCTCCATCAGAGAATTGATGTCACAGAGCAAATTGACAGTGATACCCTGAAAACTGGAGAGAGAGGCGAATATAGAGAATCACGTTTACCAAGAGCAGAAGTCACTGGAGCCAGGAAAGGGTAGGAAAACTTAAGCTGTAGTTGACAAACTGCTGGAGGTTGTGTGTGGACTGGCTTGAGAGTTAAAAACTCATCAGGGCCCCATCTTAGGCCTCTCACCCCCACTTTTGTGAGTTTTACCTCCAGGAGCCCCACCAGGTTCTCACAATGAAGATCAGAGAAAAATCCCCTCCTGCTTCTAGTAGGGGGAGGGGAAAAGTAATTATTTTGAAATAAACCTAGGGAGAAAGTAATAATTTTGAAATATGCCCAGTGCATTCTGTTCTTCACCTGACCTCAAGGGAAACGACTTTACCAGAGCCTTACCTACTTGAGGGAAGAGAAATAGCCATCTCCAGCCCCCTCTAGCCTTCCTGACTCACTTTCTAAGGGGAGTGGAGGGTACTGAGAAGCACTTGAGGTCATAGCCCAAGTGCACAGGCTCACTAAAACACCTGTTATAGGGCTATAGAACACTTCTCCCCCCTCACCTTACCACCACATCAGCAGGGCTCCTGGATAATAACAAAAGATTGCAGCTGAAAGAACTGTAAGGCACAGACTTGATCTAAGGAGGAATTTCTAGGGAAACCCGAAGACAAGAGAAGAGACAAAAACAAGGACACCAGTGGAAATTGAAGACTTAGATACCTCTAGCAACAATAAACAGTAAACACAGCATGACTCCTACCTCCATAAACGTTAACCCTTCCACTAAAGGCCTGTTTACCTCAGTTCCTATTACCCAGTACATCATGTCTGGCTTTCAACAAATTATAAGGCATGCTAAAAAGTAAGAAAAAACATAGTCTGAAGAGACAAAGCAAGCAACAGAACCAGATGCAGATATGGCAGAGATTTTGGAATTATCAGACTGGGAATTAAAATAACTGTGACTAATAATGCTAAGGGCTCTAATAGAAAAAATGGACGACATGAGAGAACAGATGGATAATGTAAGCAGGACTATTGAAACTAAGAATCAAAGGGAAATGCTGGAAATCAAAAACATTGTGACACAAGTGAAGAATGACTTTGATGGGCTCACCGGTACACTGGTGAGCAGTAGATAACTGAAGAAAAGATCAGTGAGCCTGAAGATTATGTCAATAGAAACTTCCCAAACTGAAATGCAAAGAGAAAATAGAATGAAAAAAATGGGACAGAATATCCAAGAACTGTGGGACAATGACAGAAGGTGTAACACACACATAATGGAACTACCAGAAGGAAAAGAAAGAGAAAGGGGCAGAAGAAATATTTGAAGTAATAATGGTTGAGATTTTTCTGAAATTTATGACTGATCCCTTCCTTTGTGATGATTTTGCTGTTTAGCTGCTACTGAGAGGAGGGGAAAAGTAAAAATGAGGCATAGTGACAAGTGTTCAATACTGATGTATAACATCTGGTAGGTTAACATGTGTGTTACACCTTGGTAATTGAAACTTTGATTAATTTTTTGTGCCATTAACTGTAGCCTGATATCCTGCCACCATTTAATAGAGCATGATCCAAATGTTCTTACAGTGATGATGCTCTGATTTCAGCCAACTGATGCAGAGTACTTTTTTATCTCATGTTACAGATGAAGTGGAAATTGAACAGAAAAAGATTTTCAGGACCAAAAGCCACCTTTTGTTCTACATATAGCAACAGCAAATTCGAAGTTAGAATAGCAACCTTAAAGCAGAAAACACTTAAATTTGTAATATAGTAGGAAGAACAGCATGAATTTTTATAATCACAGACAGACTTCACTTAACAAATAAGGCTGGATTGTTTAATTAATGGAATTCTGAATGTTTTCTTATGGTTTATTTATGAAAGTAATTTGCCTTTTTCTGAATAAAAATTAGTTTAAAAATTATAAATAGATGTATCCTTCTCCCCTAACTTCCCTGTACCGCATTTGAGAATCACTGAACTTGTTAAAATCTTTTATTTCTATAGGAAATGATAGGATTTCAGGATGAGGAAACTGACAGACAAGAAAATGACTTACTCAAGAACCTAAAAATCTAAAATCGATGTTAGATTTCAAGTTGCCTGACCCTTTTATGTCGTACTCCTTCCAACTAAGCGACATGTTCTGCCCACCTTTTCTACAGCATTTGTTAACCCACTGTTCTTAGTTTCCTCAGTTTTTAATGCCAGTCTAGTTTCTATGACATTGGCTGTGAGAATTAAAATGGCCTCATTTTCTTTCCATTTAACAGAAAAGTAGCAGTTCTGAATCATTAAGTGACAAAGGTTCTGAACTGAAGAAGAGCTTTGATGCTGTGGTATTTGATGTTCTTAAGGTTACACCAGAAGAATATGCGGTAAGCTTCTCACCTCTCCTTTCTCCAGTTTTTGCACATAATTTACATACTGGTGCTGTTGAGTTAGAATTTGTAGGCCCAGCAGAGGGATGGCAAAAAAAAATGCTGGATGTGGGAATTGTTGGAGAAAGTAGCACAACAGTGGAGCAAGCAGAGGGATGAAATTGGGAAGATATGAAGAGCTATAGATATTTTTAGAGCAGCTTCTTAAGTTACACTTTCAACTTGGTAAGTAATAAGTCAGTATTTGCCTTTATGGTAATTGCCTTTGTCCCTACCTATACCACCCCGAGCCAACTGTACTTTTTGACATATGTAAGCAGTATTTTTACTTTTTTGTAAATTAAAAAATTAAACCTGAAGGCATTATTGCGATATCGTGAAAGATATCTAGAAAAACTTTTCTTAACTGACGTAAATGTTCATTTATTTATGTTCTCTTTCTCCTTTAACTTGTTAACAGAATATATTGATTTCCTGATATTGAACCACTCTTGCATTCCAGGAATAAACTGTGTTTGGTCATAGCATATTATTCTTTGGTATTGTTGAATTTGTTTTACATCTGTAGCCATAAGTGAGACAGATCCACAGCCATGTGAAGTCCTTAGATGTGAGTTCCCACTAGTATAGTCTCATTACTTTTTATAAATCGAGAAGAAAACCTTTCTATTAATATCAGATTTTATATTACCACTTGAGAGGAAATGATTTAATAGTCACAACAACACTGCTCCATGAACCAGTAGATCTGATTTTTTATTTTGATTTAATATATGTATGATGTGTCTAAATTTTTAAGATTTTTTTTTTTATTTTCTAACTTTACCTCATGTATCTCATAAGAAAAGACGAATAGGCATGAGATAATTGGAAATAATTACATTTAATGGTACAAGGGCTAAATTTTCATTTTCTGAAAGCCCTTATAAAATTGATACTTTTTTCTAGTAAAGATTTGAGTATTCAGCATATTTTAGTTTAAAATTTTAATTTAGAATATATGTCACATTGTAAATTCCAAAGAAGAAATTGTCATTTTTTACTTTTTATTTCAGGGTCAGATAACGCTAATGGATGTTCCAGTATTTAAAGCCATTCAACCAGATGTGAGTAGTTTTAAGAACTTTCCTTTTAAATATACAAAATGGTCAATTATATCCCAAATTAAGAAGTTTTAGAAATATCAAATTATACTTCATATTAATTTTTAAATATTTAAAGCTTTTGATGTAACTTATCTATTATTCAGGTCTCAGAAACTCATGTGGCAGTCATAGCTGTACATCCCTGAGTTGTCGATAGGACTATTTGAATTGTTTTGGTTGGTTAGGCTTCATCACTTTACTGAAGAGAGGAATAGACTTAGAGAGGTTGGATGATTTACCCAAGGCTTTGAAGCTTTTAATGGGAGAATGGGAATAAGAAACTGGGTTCACAACTCACTCCAGTAATCTTTTCCCTTACACTTGTATTTTATGACCTTATAAAAAGACCGTATGTTGACATTTTGGAGAGAAGAGAGAGGGTCAAGAAAGGCATTTTTCGTTTTTATTCAAAAGAAGGAGGCTAACGTTTATTTTGCATCCACCCACTGTAAGCCATTTGTTACACTATGTGTGTGTGTGTGTCACCCTGAGTATGGTAAATCTATTTTACTGATGAGAAAACAGAATGACAGTTGTCCTTGATACACAGCTAAGTGTTGAAACTGGGTTTCAGACTCTAAAAAGAGATGCTTTTTCCACTCTTATTAAGTGAGAATATAAATATGATTTTGTACCCCAAAACTAACTCATTGATAGTACTGACATTCAGTACCATTAAGATAGGTAATTTTTTAGTTCTTTGGGGAACAAAATATAGTGTATCTGTTTTAGCAGATACAAGTCTGTGGTGACCCTGAACACTATAATAACTAGAACGAGTTAGGGAAAACATCTATGTCTTAAATGGTACAGACAGTATTGGTCCTGTGATTTTCAAGTAAGTTACTTAATGTCTTAGTATCTCAAGTTCACCACTTACATAATGAAGGGATGGGGCTAAATGATCTCTGAGTCTCTGTCATTTCCATGATTCTGTGTTTTCCTAACTTTCTCCCATACTGCACAGGATTCTCTCTATAGAACCATTAGATTAGTAATAGAGGAAGAGGAACAATCTATTCTAGAAACGAGGCACAAACAGAAAATGGCTTTTATATATAAGTGACAAAAACTGAAATATTCATTTCCTTATATCCCTAAACAAAACAAACTAAATTCTTTACAAAAATTGTGTTTTTTTGTCCTGAAATTCAGCCATCTTCTCCTTAGACATTTTTTTTCCTTTTGAACAAACTGCAATGACTAGATCACTGTTTCATATGAGATTAGTGCTCTCCAATAGAAATATAATGTGAGGCGCTTATATAACTTTACATTTTTCTAGTAGCCACATTACAAAGTAAAAAGAAACAGGTGAAATTAATTTTAATAATTTTATTTAACCTACTGCATCCAAAATATTATCACTTCAACTTGTAATCAGTATAAAAATTATTTAGGTATTTTACATTCTTTTTTACGTACTAAGACTTTGAAATTCAGTTTATATTATACGATTAGAGCACATCTTTATTTGGAGTAGCCACATTTCAAGTGCTCAATAGCCATTTGTGGCTAGGGGCTTGGACATTGAAGATATAGATAATGACTTCTTGGAGACGTAGACTTCAAGTCAGTGGGAATTTTTTTATTTCCCTGGGACATCTAACAGTGCTTTGTGAAATTTAGAAGTAAACCTTAAAATTCTCTTGACCCCACTCCCTGATCTAATTTAACACCAAATCTCATAGATTTTTTTAACCTCCTGAGTATCTTTTCTGTCCATTCTCTCTCTACTCCCAACACCCCAATCCAAGATACCATCTTATCTCAACTGAATTACTATAGTACCCTCTTATCTGATCTGCCTGCATCCACTGACCCTTCTAAACTCTTCTCTACCTAATAGCCCTGGCAGTCTTTTCAACATGTAAATCTGCTCATATGATCCCTCTGCTTAGAACACTTTGGTGGTTTCCTGTTACTTTGAAGATAAAGACAAACTACCCTAATATGCTCTACAAAACTCTTCATAGTTTTGCCTCTTCCTCCCTACCTACTGTAACCTCATTTTACACTTTTCCCACCTCTTTCTTATCTAGCTATACTGGACTTGTAGTCTCTCTTACTGAGCCTCTGCACATCCTAATTAACTCCTCCTCATCCTTCAGTTATTACATCAAGTTTGACTTTGTCAGGTAAGCTTTTCTTGTCTTCCTGCAGGCTCTCCTCGCACTCTCTACTTCTTCACTGGACTTGTCAGTTGCAGCTTTACACTTATGTATTGTGATTCAGCAGGTATTTAACTGAGTGTCTGTTATATGCCAGGCACTGGTGTTTTGCTGGAGATACAGCAGTAGACAGAGTAAATTTCTGCCCTTGTGGATCTTATATTTGAGTGAGATGAGCTAGACAGTGTGTCATGAAAAACATAAAACAGCCAGAAGAGGATACACAGTGAGGACAGTGGGAGTTATGATTTTAGATAGGATGGTCAGGAAGGCTTCACTGAGAAGGTGACATCTGAGCCAAGACTGAAGGAGGTAAGAGAGCAAGCCATATGGGTTTTGGGGGAAGGAATGTTCCAGGCAGAGAACCGCCAGGGCAGAGGCCAGTGAGCTACAATGAGTGAGCGAGGAAGTATGGTAGAAAATCAGAGGGTAGAGTGAGGGATGGATGGTATGGGGCCTTGCAGACCATTACTCCGAATAAGATAGGAAGCTGTTGGAGGGTTTTGAGCAGAGGAGTGACAGTTTCTGACTTAGATTTTAAGTAGCTTTTCTGACTGCTGACTAGGTTATGTGTGGAAGTGAGCATGGGGGCAAGGACGGAGTGGTACCAAGGACTGAATCAGGGAGACCAGGTGAGAGACAAGTTGGCTTGGATCAGAGTGGGAGTGAGGGAGATGGTGAGAAGTTATTAGACGTTATGTGCAAGAGGAATCAAGGACGATGCCAAGGTGGGCCTGACACCAAAATCACATGGTTGATATTCTCCAAGATGGAAAATTGTTATTGTTGTGTTCACCACTCCTGGGGCTGCCATTCATATAGAATATTATGTGCAGTGTAGCCTTGTGGAAAAAAGCCAGAGGAGCAGATTTTTTTTTTGCTTGAAGAAGATTGGCCCTGAGCTAACATCTGTGCCAGTCTTCCTCTATTTTGTATATGGGGTGTTGCCACAGCATGGCTTGATGAGCGGTGTGTACGTCTGTGCCTGGGATCCGAATCTGCGAACCCCAGGCCGCCAAAGCAGAGCGGATGGACTTAACCACTATGCCACCACGCCAGCCCCCAGAGGAGCAGATTTTGAGGAAAGAGCAGGAGTTTGGCTTTGGACATGTTTAGTTTTACATGCCTGTTAGACAGCCAAGGGGAAGGTTGAGTTAGGTTATATATACTAGCATATATTTTCAGTCCAGGTTGAAAATGAAAGTTCAGGAAATGTCAGTGTAGAGATATTAAAAGTGTGGGTGTGGTGCTGGCCCGGTGGCGCAAGTGGTTAAGTGCGCACGCTCCACTGCGGCGGCCCGGGGTTCGCAGGTTTGGATCCC